CTTTTAGGCCTTACAAATTGATTTATTAGTACTGTATACTTTTTATTACTCTGTTACTCTACCCTGTTGTGGTTTTGGCTTTACTCAGTCATTCATTTAGAAATTGGTCGTTAAAAATACCAGAGGCTTGAAAGCACAATTAAATACATTTTCAAACACAAGCAAGTGGCGGATGCACACAGTCCTGTATACAAAAGGTCTGTTTAGTCAATTTAACATGCAATAGGCTAGCTGTAATTAATCCAGAGTCTCTGTAGCATAGGCAGTGGACTCTGGCACCTCCAGTGGCCAGAGCTTTTGGGCAAGTGGTAGTTAATGCCTGAGGAGAGCTGCCTGTTGTTTGAAGGATCAAATTCGAGTGCAAACAACTGCTAAAAACTTTTTCTTTAAACAAGAGGGTTTCTAAAGCTTCCTGGTACATTTGCCACAATTCAGATATTGCAAGCTGTGAACCAGATTGTGCCACTCTTATGTAGGTCAAATAGTACCTTGCCTACACAGTGGGGTTGTCTCTTAGAGTGTAGCTCAAGGTAAATATAAAATGTGCTGTCTAGTCTGCACAGTGCAGGGTAAGGACACATCGAACACCTTGTCTGACCCCTGATCCAAACGTACTTGAAAAGTTTGGCTAATGCTGTTTCTCGGATTAAGAAGCTTACAGTGTTATGTGTCCACAACTTGGGTTGTTCAGGTTCTTTTCCCATGTTTTTTTCTTCATTTTGCATATGATGCCTGCAAATGTACACAGGAAAAGAGTAAGCAAAAATTTTTGTCTGTGAAATTCTGCTTTTTGCCCATTCTAGTAAGGAATTTCTCCTCTTGTCATGAAAATTACTATTTTTCTATCTAGGCCACATTTATTACTTTTTGCAGCTTAACTGTTTTTTGTGCATCACTGTACAATGGGTTGAAGCTACATTTGTTGAGTCCAGTGTAGTTATTCACTTTTCTGTTTCTTTAAGAGAACCCTTCCTGACAAGAAAGACAAACAATAATTTGGTAGTCTTTAAAAGTTGCTCGGCAGAAATGTAAACAGCACAGGGAACAACAAGGAAAACCAGCTTCCACATTTTTTGTTCTTTGAGAAGAGCACGCATGGTGGTTCTTAACAAAGAGGGGAAGAAACCTGCTCATGAGAGGACACAAAAGTCTTTGTGCAAATAAGCATTCCTGTCTCCAGTCCCTAGCACGTGCCCTGGAAATGTCACTCACAAGCAACTTTAGCATCCAAATATTTCTGTTCCATTCTGAGGTAATCAAATTTGAGACTCTTCATTTCAGATTTATCTTCCTTAGTTTTATTAAGATTTTGATTTCTTGAGATCTTCTTCACATTAATTTTTCAATGATGTTTTCATTACTGTATTAATTGCTCTTAAAACTCAGGATGAAGAAATACTTTGCCTTAAGAGCTCCTGCCCTGAAGGATTTTACCTTAACAGATACCTCAGATGATGCTTAGCTGCAAGTTTCCATCATGACAAGCTGAGGAGCAACATTCAGATTTTGATTCTCCCAATATAGATGTTTTTCTCTTCTTCTCATCTAAGATTACTTTTTTAAAAAGCCTAGTAATGACAGCAGCTCTCAAACCGAAGAGAAAGTCTTTTTCCTTATCTAGATGTCATACTGCTTCATACTAAATTTGTCACCAGCACATCCTTGCTGCCCCCTATTGCCTCCAGGATGATAGGCTTTGTGATCTATAGGAAAAAGAGCAGTCTCTCCTCACCTCAGAGTATGGGAGTAAAAATAGTCTCAGTGTGGAAGACATTTCTCAAACAGAGGGGTTTTTTTGTCCTCAGACATATTTGGGCTGTGGTACAAGAAAGGAGATGGGTGGGGTTTTACTGCATACACATATTGTTTGCATTTCAAGGTAATGTATCATACCCAAATGGTCACAAAGGCTAACCTATAACCTGGTTTCTTAAGAAAATTCAGTCCACACAACAAGCATCAGAGTTGCTCTCTGCCCTCTTCAGCTTCAGCTTTGAATCTGCTTTTCAGGTTCAGTCAAATTTGAACTTAAGTTCATAAAAACTTAATGAAAATGGGCAGCTGAGTAAAGAGGATAACTGTTTTCCCAGCGAGGGAAAGGAGGAGCCCTGTCTGTATCGTGTTCTAGGGAATCCCCATGGGGGAGAGCTCTTATCATGGCTTCAGAAGCAGGAAAACCTTTGATCAGTGCTTGCTGCCAGAGAAACCAGCTGCAAGATGCAACACCTTGGGCAGGCAGGGTTCATTACTGCACCATAAATACATCTCTTGGAAAGGCTTTGTTCCAGCCTGCAGTCTGAGTGCAGGCACTGCAAATGGGTGAGCAGCAGGGCCTCAGCCAGGGCACCACCTCGGATCCTGCTCCCACAGGAGAGTCAAGTTCCTGTGCAAAATGGGCTGCTCCTTGTGTGCTGCTTGTTCGTGGGGAGAGGCTGGCGGGAAGGCATGGCTAATGCTTCGTTTTGCAGTCAGACTAGGTGGTGATCTGTAAAAATTGCATTTAGCAAAACCCATTAGTGCCCCTGGCTTCCTCCCTGTCTCTGTACATGAGGAAGCACTTAGGCAGAAGGGCAATCCTTTAATTCACAGGGAGAGCACACAGTGCAAGCACTCCTGTTCAGAGGAGAGCTGCTCATGCAGATGCAATCCTGGCAGCTTCTGGTGTGCTGTGAGGACACTATTTTATATTTACTTTTAATAGAAGGGATAAAGTAGAATAGTAATAATGGGACTGATAAATGAAAGAAAAACTGTAACCACATAATTATGTCAGAATCAACTAACAGCCGTGAAAAGCGGATTAAACCACATTATGCAGATAGATGTAACAGAATACTATTAGTAAGTCCTTTGCAATGGCATGCCTGGCAATTAAGAGAGCCATATTGGCAGCACACAGTGAAAACAGTGATAATGTATAGTTAAAAATGTTTGGAGACAAACAGTGCACAGAGTACAGCAACAGCCTAGAAGCGAATACTGAGGAGTGTCCTCAAAGATACCAGCACCCGGAGGAAAACCAAAGATGTTATTCCTAATAGACCCTCTAACTAGGATGTTGGTCATATTTGTATTTATCATCTAAATTAATTTACTGTCTTATCTATAAATGAAAGGCTGCAGTGCAGCAAGTAGTCTGTCTTTTCTGACTATCCGCAAATTTCAGGTTGTGCAGGCTAACAGAGGAATTCCATTTTTTCTTTTGAGTTAAAGAACCTTGCAGAAATATTCTGTTTAAGGCATTAAAAATATTAATGTTCCTGTTATTGCAAGTATTAAGAAAATATTTGGGAATGAGATACCTCAGTATGTGTGTATTCCTTATGTATGTGGTATTTCCAGGTTGGGGACCTGAGGAATGTGTCACCCATGAGTTTCTTTCTTGCTGAAGTATTGGTATTTGTTGTTTCCTCTCACCCACCACAGAAAGAGTCAAAGTTCAATTCTATCCTTCACTTTCCCTCTGCCCACTCTTGCAGAGCAGTTCTCATCTGTAGTCAGGGAGAATTGCACAGGAACAAGCTCTAAGATAACATCAGTGCAGGTTCAGAGTTCCCACAGGCTTTATGGAAAGATACACTTCTGCCAGAAACTAGTCCATGTGACTGGGCAGATCTCATCTAAGGGAATCAAACCTGTGGGAATATTTTGGTGTCAAAGGGTGAGCATGCTGGAAAGCTCATACTCCCTTTATTTTCTTCATCATGCCAGGCAGACTTCACAGGCATGTACCAAGAGAGTTTGCTTGCAGAAAACGAGCATGGATACTTTAACTATTTATCCTACCTGTTGTTTTCAACAGGTTTGTGCAGATTTTCTTCTTGCTTTGTATTAGGAGATGGCTAAACTAGTGTGAAATGCAGGTAATGAGAGGTCAATAGCATCTGGGCCAACAGCAGTGCTTTCCTGAGCTGTTCTAAAGCAAAGAAAGGGAGAGAGTGTGCATGTGGTCACACTTTGATTACAGAAGCCAGGCGATATGTTTGTAAATGAAATTCTGTCAAAAACTTAAGTACTAGGGAAATAAAATTAAAGAAATCTCTGCCAAAACAAGATTTATGATGATTTATGACCAGGAGAAATGCCTTTACTTAAATGAAGAAGTGAGACTGTAGGAGAAGACTGTCTGTAGAAGGCTATAAATGTAATTGTACTCTGATGTTTACGTTTACTTGAACTATTTTTCCTCATAATTTTATGTGAGAATGTTGATGCTTACAGAGTACTTTTCATGAGAGATGAGTTTCATTATCTCCCTTTTAACACATGAAGAAACTGACACCCAGAAATTTGGGGTACCCTAGGTGAGGTACTATATCATAGCCATGAGGGAGGCAAGAACCCAACCTCTTGGTGTCCTAATTGGCTATACTATTTACTGGATCACGCTGGATTTAAGAGCAAAGTAAATTTAGCTACTGATAGTATTAAACACCTGTTATTTCATCCTTTTATTTGAAGCTGGAGCATCATTTCTTCTCCGGTAGCAAAATAACTTCAATCTGTTTCCTTTACCTTTTGCAGGACTCACAGAAAACAAATTGTTCCTGAAGTAAGAAGCTATCACTGATAGTGTGTACTCCTACACAATGCAGAAGAAAGGCTGCCTTTCCTCTAAATAAAATATAAAAAGAGAGTAAAACAGCAGTAAAACAGCCCAGAGTAAAACAGCAACAGCACCTATAACAAACATGGTGTCACTTCAAAATTGTGTCCATCCATGAAGTGTGTTATATTCTATTATGGCATACAGCTCAGTCATACCCTGAATGTGCAAATCCTGTTACAGCTTTTGCCTCCTCTTGGCTTTGAAGATAGAGCTTGTGTGTTTGCCTTTAGAGGACTATTGGTAGGAACGTTCTTGTCATTGGCAGTGATGCTGATGAGCTCAAGGCCCACTTCTGGAAGAGTACCCCTCAGGGACTCTTAGATTCTTGCTGCATACTTCCACAGATCCGTCAGCCAAAATATCACTAACGATATAACTTTTAATTTCATAGATGAAGGAACTTGGCGTCATCGTATACAACTGCAGCTGCCTAGTCCTGGATTTGCAGAGGATATTTGCCCTGTATAGCTCATTAAGATACAAGAATAAAGTACCTCCAAGTTGGTCTAAGAGACTATATGGAGTGTACGATACTCAAAATAAACTGACACTGCAGCTGAACGAGACAAAATCAGAAGCTTTTGTATCGGTAAGTTCTGAAATGAGTTGCAGAGAGGGAGGGGAGGGAAGAAACTTATTTAACCCACCAGATTTTTGGAAGACCTGGAAATTTGACAAATCAGAGTATTTTTTTTTATTTAATTCTGATTTCTGTGACATTTTTCATACATGCAGTTTGCCAGGACTGAAGATGCTGCAGGATTTCATCTAAGTGTTATTCTTTTTCCCTTTCTCTGTAATGTTCACCACTTTTCCACTTGTGTTCAAGAATGATAGGGAAGCCCTTCAAATTAGATTCTTTTATTTACACTAGTAGATATAACATGAATTACTTAGGAGTAAATGAACCATTAATCAGACATAGAAAATAATACAGAATAAGCTTGATATCAGAGCCTGCATTTTTATCGGTGTAATTTACAAGGATTCACCCTGTTCCATTGAAAGCATTTGTACTTCTGTATAACAACATCTACTTCAGCTTTATTTTTAAATGATATTTTAAAACTTCAAGCAGTGATCCCCATGGAAGCACTGTCTGTGCATGTACTTTTAATGGAAAGAAACCGATCAGTCCTCCATCTCAGCAGCGATGTAGCAAAAGTGGAAAAAAGTACACACTGAGATAGAGATGATAAAACATGTGGAGTGTCTTTCATTTTGGAGGTAATTACACAGTATAAAGAACCACTTCAAAATCAGGAATTTAACGAAGTTGCTAAGAGTTACTTTCCATTCTTTACAAATCAAGGGGCAAAACCCTCATTGCTTTATAGCCAGTTATGTCTAAAAGAACACAAGGCATGTAACACACTATTAAGTTGTACAGCCGCTAGCATGGGATATTGGTGCAGATGAGTGGTTAATAAAGGGCAGGGTTTACCTTCACCTGCTGGGAGCCCAGCAATTTTCCACTGTCCAGGATTTTTCATACTCCTACAATCAGTGGAGAGACAGAGAACTATTTGAGAGTGAAAACTTGGAAGTGCCTAAGACAGCCAGAATTAATAGCTGTTTGAAAATATGGACACTTCCATTGATTCTGGAGAACCTTAAGGACTAGCTTAAATGAGAGACTGACTTTTGGACAGTTAGCAAATGTGCTGTGAAATTAAATCCTACTCCTTTCTAAGCAATGTGCAAGAAATGGAGAAATCCTGCTGAAAGTCAGTCCTGCAGAGGCATACAGAATGGAAAGCTGGTTAAGGCCAAGTTTAAGGAATCCAGGATCCTAGACAAAGGCAAGTGGAGAAAGACTCTACAAAAACTGATTTTTTGCAGTTTACAGAGTGTTCACTTCCTCCCTGTTATTTATATTTTCCTTTTCCTTTCCCTTCTATTCCTGTGAGTAATAGAAGCTGCTTCTCTTAAAATTTCACTTCACAAAACAAAAGGAAGGACTTGCTGGTACTCAGAAGCTCAGATCATTGAAGTCCAACTCCAAGAGTGATCTGAATTTGTAACCACAGCCCACTTGGGCTGGTTCTTCCTTCTTGAAAACAGGCTACTATATTTATACATTTAACTGTATTTAAATCACTTTACACTTTTTCCTTGAGTCAGAATTCATTCTTTGAAAATATATTTCATTTTCAGTGTTTGTGCTGTATAAAACAACCATGACACACAGTCATTAATTTTTTTTGTTGTACTTGGGAATCATCGCTTAGTGTTTCTTAGCAACAAAATCATCTTCCAGCCTGGCTGATAAAGTGTAAGAGGTTTTGGTTGTTTCTTTTAGTGTTCAAGAATGGATCTGGAATATTGGTCTTGAAATCTTGCTACAGTTAATTTTCTAGTATTTTCTCTGTTGTAAGTGTTGTTAATCCTTAAGAACACCAGTCAGTTATTAAGAAACCACTGTAACAGGCAGTGTATTGAAATAAAGTAAGACTAATAAAAAAAACCTGGATCTGTCCCTAAAGGAAACATACCAGTCTGGGTGTCATCTGGGACCCAAGCAAGTAACAAAGGTGAGAAGGTGATACAGCACTAGGAAGGCAGCAATCTGCCTTTAAGAAAAAGACAAGTGGCACCTGCTCCAGCTGGTTAAAGTGCCTTCAACAACCTCTCTCCCAGGAACGCTGTTGCCTGTGAACAACTTGACAGGTGGCTCCACTTTCCTCTACCTGCTTGTGCAGAAGAGTAGAAAGTCCAGGGCCTGTCTGCCACAGATGGGCAATTTCTGCTGGCTTTACCTTGCTGCCTGACACCTTTGACAGCCCTTGATACAAGGCAGAAAAGCTGAAATACAGGCTTACCACTCACTGGCTCAGTACTGGGTAATTTATGCCCGAAGCTAGGTTTTAAAGATAAGTTTCTTGCAAAACTGCAGCATGTCCCTGCAACAGTGCCTGAGTAAATGGGGACTCTGTGTGGAACTTTAAATAGAACTAACATAATAGACTTGATTCCTGCTCACAAGTGAAGCATCAGGCTCATGTGGCAAGAACATATAGACACTCCAGCCAATAGTAACCAGTCCTGGGGCTCTTTGGAACAAAATTCTCTGAAATGTGGTTATGCCCTGCTCCACTTGGCAAGTTTAGCAGAAGGTTGTTTGATTTATTCTGGGTGGTGCGTGGGACAAACAGCAAAATTCTCAGGAGGTTAATAACAAAGTTTTTCTTGCAAACTTGAGAACATCAGGGTAGAATAAGCTACTGGAAAATTTTGAAATGTAACCATTTTGGCTGGAAATGTAAGAGCATAAAAAAATTAAGAAAATGTATAAGGGAAAAGAAAGAAAAAGAAATGATAAAAGTAGAAAACTATATAGACACCACCCATGGGTACAGTGATGAGACTTGATGGTTGGATTTTACTGGTCACAAAGTCCAGGGGGTTAATATTACACCCAGGCTCGGTGGGAAAGCCCAGGTACCTCCCTAGATAACTCCCTGGGGCAGGGAGTTTTACACTGGATGATGTAATACTGTGGGACACTTCAGGAGTCTTTGACGGTTCATGTCACCGTCTAAGATGTTACAGCTGCCTCTTACATCAGCATAGCTGAGTCAATTATGGCCTATTGGACAGGATGAATACCTTCAGGTTTATGGGGGAATACCCCAGTAGTTCCCTGGAAGCAAGTTTTCACAGTTAAGCCACTTGTGTAGGGACACTGGCATTATGAAAAGCAGTATCTCACCTCGCAGGATTGCCTTATTACTGGCCTCTTCCCTTATCTGGCTCAAAACCCAGCTTGTGGCCTCTGATGATGGGTGTCCATCCCGTCTCCACCTGGGCAGTTACTTTGTGAATTGTCAGCAAAGCACTGGGCTGCTTTCACAAATATTTGAGTCATTAACCATTAACACTGCAGTCTCTCACAAAGGTGTACTTCAACTAGAGCTTTCTGATGACAGTTGATGTTTTGAAGTTGTGTCTTTGCATTTTCCCCACAGTTACATGTAATAGGTGAGGCTTTTGAGGGGCAAGTAAGCAAATACCTCTCCTTTGTAGCTTTGAGTATTCTAGCAGGACAGTTGAAGTTCTCAGTTAATAATAACTTTTCCTTTCACAGAATTCACCTAAACTCTTCTGCCCAAAGGACAGAGTCCTGGATATTGAAGCTATATACAGTGTTATCGATGATGCCAAGCAGTTTGTATACATAGCCGTCATGGACTACTTGCCAATCGTCATTGACACCAATGCTAAACGGTGAGTGTCCAGGACCAGCTAGTTATCATGATGCCAATAAGGTCTGCTGGAGACAATGAACCCACAGGAGATTAGTTACTACTGTGGACCAATTTCTTGGGGCCCAATTCTGCTCTTATTGAAATCAGTGAGAGTTCTGCCATTGACTTAAATGGGAGCAGAATGGGGACCTAAGAAGACAATTCCATTGCTGGGTCCTGAGCTTTGGATCTGCCTGTTGAGGGAGATCAGAAATTGTCTAGTCTGACCATCTGGACTGGGACCCAGGAATACAACAATCTGTTTATACATGAGTCCTATTTCTTACACTATTATACTCCTTTTCTTGAGACCACAGCTACTGGCATTTTATGAGTATCATAGATATTCATATGAGAGACAGAGAGAGTGCGTGTGTGTGGTAAGAGAGAAATAATGTATTCTGAGTTCTTGTATACAGTGTGGGGGATGTCATTATTTTATTGATATACACATAAAAGTGAAAATTCCAAATTCCCAGTTCATAGAAGGGGGAAAAAAGGTGGCACTCAGGAAGAGATTCGGTGATCCAGTTCCCTTGCACAACTCTCAGAAAATCCCTCTGTCTGGGCTGGTCAGCAGCGCCCTCTGGTTGTGGCTCCTTGTGCTGCTGCTCCAGCCACAGGCAGAGAGGGGACACGGGAACAACTCTCCAAAACAGCGGTGGAAAAGGCACCTGTATTTTGTGAAAATGTCTTGGCACATACGCAGGTGGAAGATGTACTCATCTATCCACCATCTCGCTGTCCCCACTGTGATGGTAACAGTTTTGGTACAGGGCTGAATGACAGAAAAAGGGATGCTGGCAGATCTGTTTAGTGAGAATCCCTTTAAATAAGAGCAGCGTTCCTTCAGTGGACAGAAAATGAAATTCACATGTGCATTTGTTTTCTCTATAATGTCTAGACTTAGCTGCATAAAAATCCAATTTTTAAAACATTTCTCTGAATATATTGTATTTTTTCTCCACAGGTACTGGCCATATTTAGATGGGAAGATAAGAGAAGCATTAGTATTACGAAGTATTAAAGTACGACTTCTCATAAGTTTCTCAAGAGACACAGACCCCCTTACTTTTAACTTTGTTTCATCTCTGAAAGCTATTTGCACTGAAGTTCCAAGCTGTAGTTTGAAAGTTGTAAGTATAATCCATATTGCTTTAAAAGATAAGATATTCTCCACCCCCCAAAAAGAATCAAGAGAACAACTGAGAAGCCTTTTCTGTTGGTATCAAAGTCTTTGAGTTTAATTAAATAATATAGGAAATAATATAATGAACTCAATTTACTCCTAGTAGTAACAAATAGAAATTAAGACAGAAAAATAGATTGATGTCAAAAGGTAGTCTGTGTGGTGGACAGCCCATGTAAAACGCTTCATCTGGTCTTTCGCAGCAAAGCTAAGTGAGCCATAGTCATAGGTCATGTTTATGCTGTCTGATAAGAGTAAATCTAATAGTACAAAAATAAGTTTTAGTTTGGATTCATGTAACCTTGCTGTTCAGCTGTGTAAGCATCTACTTTTCCTTCAGTGAAGTGCAAAGTATGGGAAAAAATAATGAAGATTTTACATTAAATTCAGTCTATAAATTCAGACTTGTGAAGACTAGAATAACCATTATGCGGCAACATTAGACATGCAGTACAGGAAAGTGAGAAATACCATACCTATTACATTTGTATTAGAGAGAAGAATATATGGTAAGTACTACTTTCAGTTTGCTACAGTTCATTTTTATGAAATTAGGGCATACTGGAAATCCACCATCTTGGATCAACCTTTTTTTTTTTTTTTCTTTTTTTTTGGTGTGTGTTTTTTGGGGGTTTTGGTGTTTTTTTTCAGGTAATTCTCTCAAATAGTCTGAATTATTTAGATTTCTTAAACTGATAATCCATTTAATAATTCTGGCTTTTTGCAATCAACAACTGTAAAAAACAAGTACTATGTGTTATACACATTAAGTGGCATTTATGCACATCTAGAATTTTTCTTATAACAGATGTTGTTATTACAAATTTCCTAAGTAAACAAGCAGCATAAAGTGTGATTTAAAGTCAAAAAACTCCTTACATGGCTGACATTGCTTAACATGCTTCAATTTTGAGTAACTTCTAGCTTATTTCATATTTATCACCAAAATTCTACTTATGGATTCAAAATCATTTTTTATTTAAGTGGTACCTAATGCTCAACATACTTATATCCATTTCCATCTATTTTCAGCAGATAAAATCTTTTGTACAGAATTTATCTTGTCAAGAACTACATGCTAAAAGGAAAAAAAAAATTTACTTCTAGACATCTACTCTGGGTAGATAGTCTAGCTAGAGTATCTGCAGTTAGAAAATACAAATAAAACTTCCAGTAAAAAAAATAAGACCACCCCAGGTATAGGTAGTTGTAAAGGTACAACACACTTCAGTTACCTTTGCTGGGCATCACATGTTCCCCACTCTGGGTAAGTCACTGTCTTAAATAAACCTTGATATGAGCAATAGGCCAAGGCTCTGAGTTTGCTGGTATCTATTTGATTTTGACTGAAAAGTGTGCCATAGGCTCCATATCAGTATTCTTTTAATTCAAAAACATGTCAGATGAGCAATGTTTTTTTTTAAAGCTGTATTTCTTTTGCCTTCATCTGTTATAGCCAGGATAAAAGGGAAACAAAACTGTGTGTGTGTGTATGGAGGATGAGGATTAGGCTAACAAAATTAAACTTAAATCTTTTGAATTACTGGAAAATTCTGCTTTTCCCTTTTGGTTCTGCCTTGGCTATGAGAAAACATAAAGTCAAACTAAACTCTGTACAGAAAATACTGTCATTCAGACACACAATGTATGTGTTTATATACAAGATCACTGAAATTTTAAGATAAACTTGTTACAAATTCTGATTGAAATTATAATTGAAATTGCTAAGTTGTCCCAATACCTCTGTATTGTTTTGACCAAAATGTCACACACACATGCACCACATGACCTCCTATCCCCCACCCGTTGTACTGTTCTTTTGGGAATAATATATTCAAGTCCTACAAAGCATAATCAGTAACTTTTTCATTTAGCTTTTGATTTTTGATCCCTGTGATATGCCTTGTTGCGACTGATTTTATATTTTATTTTTTTTTTTCAATCTCTATGGAACAACCAGTTTGGTTTTAAAGTTTCCAGTGAGTGCCAATGGCTGGCTGCAGCTACAGGGTTACACTGGTTTGCCAATGGCAGGAGGCTGAGGTACACCGTCATCTTAGAGAAAGGCGATGCAGATTTAATTTCTGTTAGATGGGAATCTTTTCCTTATTTCCCTTGTTGTCTGAGCAGGCCAGTGGAAGTTTTGGCATGCCCTAACTGCAAGTATGTAGTTAGAAACAGGGCACTGCAACCTTATTACACTTAGCAGTGTCTTGATCAAAGCCAGCCACCATCCGCTGTGGATGAATTTTCCAGTCTGCTGTGGAGGTCAAGGATGAAAGGGACTGCAAGGCATGGTTTTCTGGCTGTGAACACTGAGTTAGTTGTAACAGTGTGCTCTATCTAGAAGCAGGGATTTTTTTTTCTTTTCCTTTTGCCACAAAACTTTGATAATACTCGACAACGATGTCATTGCAGTTAGAAAACAGTCCCTCATGCATTTCTCAGCATCTCAGAGTCCAACTCACATAAGCATTAATAACTACTGGGGTCAGCTGAAACTGTTTTGAGAGTGCAAACTCAATGGAAGTACTCTGAAGAAAATTGCTGGGAAAAACTTGCACAGAGAAAGCTATGTTTGAGAACTAAATAACACTATAAGCACACAGCCAAATGGCAAGGAATAAACTGCACACCAAACTGCTACTCAGTCAGGGAGCTCTGTCCAATGCACTGAACCAATGTGATCATGAAATTAAAGCTTGAACCATAAAGGGCAAGATCAAGGTGAAGAGCTCACCCTTGTACTTCTTGGGACCTTAATTACTGTACTCCTTAAGTTTTGCACACTTGACCCCATAAATGTATCTTCTGTGCACGAATGCCTAGTCCAGCTCTCAAAGGAGCAGTAGAAAGGGGCCAGCTCTGTTGGATGCAATGCTGAACAGAGTGTGTTTTTGAAAGACCTGCAAAAAGCAGGACCTAGAACAAAATGTCTTTCGACAACTGGAAACCACAATGGAGTGGCATGGAACAGCTGTGTATGTACAACACAAGTTATTCTTGAGCCTCCACATGAATCTATTTTTGAGTTGTGCAGTGTATTCCTGCTCAGGTAAGAGGAAGGTAAAACTGAACCTTTCACTAATTCTCAGAAAGACAGAAATGCTCTATGAGTAAACAGTGTTATGAATTAACTATGAAACCTTTGCTCCTAAGCACTGATTTAATTTTAAAGCTCAGAACTCCTCAAATAAGAATGGAAAGATTAATGAAATGTTAGGAGTAGGTAGAGTATTATTAACACAGTACTTTTGCTGAAGGCACGTCGGAGAACATTACACTGTGCTGCTTAATGCCAATCCTGGTTCACTTGCTCATCTAAGTGACATTTGTGTTTTCTGTTTGTGAGGGCAGATGATTTTCCCTAATGGTGTCCATATTCCCAAGGAGTCAATGCCTTCTCTGCTATTGCTGGAGAACACATTACATTTCCAAGCCTTCTATCCTTTCCTGCCTGAAATTTTCTCTCTTACAAAGTTATTATACAAACAGCACACTAATGTATCATATCTCAACTCAGCACATCAGCTCAATCTATCTCAATTTGACACCTCTAAGCTTATGTTATTATTTTTACATCAAGGTATGTAACTTTTTGCTAAGTCTCCTAATACTGCTGAGAAGACAGCTTGTTATGTTTTTTTTCCTAGCACTGAATACTTTGCCCATTTGCCTGTTCTAGACTATTCCCAGCAATGTTAGTATTGGTCACACCATATCATCCGCATCCCTGTGAAGAGGTACTGCAAGTACCCCGATGGATACCCTTATGGCTGCTGGCTGTTTCCATTCCAATTTTGTTGTGCTGGAAAAAAACATGAACATTTTCTTCTGGCTTTTTCCAAAAATTTGAGACCCTTTCAGAAAGATTCAGACCCATTTCTGGCTTTCAGTGTGGGCGCATGTTTGTAGAGCAGTTACTCAGGCACACAGTTGCAGTCTGGATGTTGTCAAAGAACATAATATCTAGCAAACTCTCCTTTATGGCTGCTAAGGGGGTTTGTTCTAATCTTTTAAGAAGTGTGATGCTGTAATTATTATTGATTATAAAAATCTGTAATTAAAGGTATGATTTCTCCAGGCAGCTGAGTTAGCTGTGAATGTACAATATAAATCTAATTTAAAGAAAAGATAATAGACTTTTACATAGAATATTCTTTTTTTTTTAATGCCCTTTATAAAGCAATCACTCAAGCAATTTGCATTGCTGTGCTTGTTTTTGAATTCATAACACTATCTTTGGAATTCTGCTAGCATTTGAACTCATTACAAAAATTAAGTGTGGAACATAACAATGCCATATACAGGTAAGTAAGCATGGAGTAGCATACAAATTTCAGAGACTTTAAGGTAACAACTTTGTGACAGCTATCAGTCACAAAGCTGCATCCTACTGCTATCCAGTATTCTGCACTGAAAAAATACTGAATTTATTTCTCATGCACTAAAAACCTGCTTCAGTGCTGTTAAACAAATTTCTTTGTCCTAGGTTTCCCTCAGTAAAGTCTTACACAACATCTGATTCCAGGAAAAAATAATTTGATAATTGAGTGGTACAGCAATGGGAACATTTCAAGCTAAGTGCCTCCAGAGAGGGACCCAAACCAAGGGAATCCCTGGGCTTTGATACCCTTACAGTCTATGCACCCGTTCACTTGCCTGGCATGCACCTTCTGGTCTGATGGTGAATTTTGGTTTGGGTTTTCCAATGCCTTATTGGATTCTTTCTCTGCCGAAGCAAGCAGGCTGTTATCTCCTCTTATCTTGTGGAACTGCAGCCTCCTTATCTTCTAGTTTATACTTCTTGTGCACTAGCTTAGTTGGCTAAGCACAGGAAACCCAAAAGTCCTTGATTTAGAGTAGGCTCTGCTTAGCAATAACTAAAACATCCGTATTATCAGCATTATTCTCCTGCTAAATTCAAAACACAGCACTGTACCAGCTACTAGGAAAATTACTGAGAAAATTAACTCTATTCCAGCCAAAAGCATGTATCTAGGTGAAAGTTCACAGCTTGTGACCCAAGGTTTCAGCAGATCTTAGCTAAGCTACTCATGCTAAACAAGTAAAGCTAAGCAAACAGCATACTAAATCAAACAAAATTGTAACTCTGACTTAGTTAAAACTTACTTATTAAACGAAACAACTAGTATTTCTCAACAAGCCCTAATAAACTTCCATCATGGCAGGTAGGGGGGATGTGTGTCAGTCGAAGCACAGAGACTCTCCTTAGCGCTGAAATCAGCAGGAGCCTGGATTGATCTTGGTATTTTAGACAGAGTCCTTCTAAGCACTTTTGGTACAACCTCTGACACCATAAAATTTACCCCAATATATTTTCCAGTGGGAAGGGAGATACTCTAATGGAGTCCACAGCACAAAGTGCTAGGTAAACAGCAGCCTCTGGGCTACTCTACTTTTTGTCTGCAATTAAATAATTTTGATTAGCTTTGGTAGTAATAATTGCAGATAAGTCTGGTCAGAACTTAAAACAGAATTCTCCAAGGAAAACCAAACTGTAATGACCTTGACTCATGATGAAGTGGATTTTCTGAATGAGTATTTATATGCAGTCCTGAAGCAACCAGTTGTATAAAACCTAAACTTGGTGTTGCTGTTCATTGGTAACAACACATTTTGCAATAGTCAAGCAGTTTACTGCAAACAAGCTTGAAACCCACCTACATTATCAGCCAGGTAAAGAATCCTTTCTAAAACCAAGCACCCATGTGCTGTGCATACAGCCATACTTGGATTAATCGAACTGAAGATGTTGTGTACCGAGGAGACCACCACAGTGCAATGAGTTTGGCGTTGGACACTTGAGCTATCCAAATTAGTAGGACTATTCTGAAAGACATCTCTGTAACCTAAAAGGATTTGTTCAAGGTTTATATCAAGGTTTAAGAGATGAATTGTGGAAAATAGACCCCTAAGAACGATTAAGGAGTTTTGGGATGGATTCTTTTCCACCCCAAAGTGTGTGCACTCTATAGCCAGTACTTTCGCCAGTCATCTATTGTGAATTAGGTTTGTTTTAAGGATCTCACCATCGCTTCAGTCAAAGTTTTCCAGTTAGGCAGTAAATATTTACCTTCACCTTCACCATGTTATTCTCTACTTCGGGTTTTGGAATCTATGTTTAGCTATTAGTTTTCTTGCTGAAATAAACATTACTTATATTGGTACTGAACAGAAAAGGAGTTCATATAGCTCCAAAATGAAAAATAAACAAACACACAATCAAATAAATAAATAAATCTTGCTCAGACTTCATCCTCCAGGGTAAAACAGATGTATTTTCCTCTTGTTGCCTGCTACATTTGATCTCTTCATATCAAATTTAATCCTGAGAAGCTTCTAAGTTTCTGAAGTTTCCTGTTGGAAACTATGCAATGTGTGATGTAGAGGTATTAGCTACTGCTGTACCTGCCAATCTAGATCCTGAAGCAGACTTCAGACTTCAATGTCCTTTGACAAATGAGGAAGCAAACTAAAGAAAAGTTCCTGGCTCCAAGCAGAACACAAAGATGGGGGTTTTTTGTTCATTTCACAGCCTTTACCACCTGGCACTGTATTTCTTTTCACATGCAGTAGCCACATACCTTGTATAGATCAGAATGCCAAGGCAAGAATATCATAAGCTGTGAGAATTTACTACGAAATACAGTGTGCAGTGTTTTATTAAAAAACAGTTGGCTAGAAAAACTCGAGCTGTTCTGTAGCACTAACTCATTTTCAACAAAGATTAGAGAACAAGCCGTACTTTTTTTGTCTCTTATAGAGCAATGCTCATTAACCTGTGCTCCATTCTATTTTATGGCAGAAATTCTTTGACCTTGAGGAAGAGAGTGCATGCTTTCTTAAAGAACAGAAGAACACTTCCCTTCCCAAATTAAATCGTAACAAATATATGGTGACCGATGGAGCTGCATATATTGGTACGTAACCACATTTCAAGAAATTCTAGTTAGTATCCGAAAGCCAAAAAAAACACTTCTTTGTAGATGAGCAATCCACAGATGATTCGTTTATTAATAGTTCATTTCTTTGGGAACCTGGATGAAGATTGAGCTTTGGGCCTCTTCCCATTTAAAAACTTTTCTTCCCCTATGAATCAGTTTCTCAAAACACACATTCTGTTTTTGGTATTTTAAAACACACCAAAACCACAAATATAGCACCATTTATGAAGCAGAAACAACTTGGATTATTAGTACATTCTCTTGTTTCTGCAATCCAGTGAGGATGGAGTGTTCTCCATTTCCCATGTTTTGGGATATGGTCAATCCTGCTAAATATTGTACAGATGCCTTTCATCTTCATCTTCTGAAGTCTTATTCTGTTTCCTATAATGACATTTCAGACACCCTCCTAACATTAGGTACATGTGCAATTGGTATTTTGGGTTAAAGGTGTATTTAAGTAAAGTTGTTGTATGGCAGCTAGCAAAAGTTCGTCACCAGTCAAATGCTCACTGAATGCAGGCTGAAAACTCCCCTTTAAAAAATCTGAGTTGTACATAAGCTTACAGGATCAGAAAACCATTGCTGAATTAAAAAGCAACTCATGACATTTTAAAAAGCCAGGAGACAAAACATGCATTCTGATATGCTGCAGCTTGATGCTTTCGGGATCTTACTGACTCACTGCAAAGCGCTCACAGCCTGTGATGGCAGAGGCAGTGGGGAAGGGCAAAGGCTGCAACCCAGAAGCACAGCCCATGCACACACCAACAAGTTGTGCAGAGATACAACTAAAATCTACTCTGAAAAGCCCACCTTGATGGGCTCTAAACACACACACCTACCTTAACTTATCCAAATCTTAATTTTGACTGCAAATACTGCAGCTCATTCCTCTCATCTACCAAAGACTTTTTTTGAGCCCCTCCCCCAACATTATTTTTCCACTACATTTTAAATCCCTTCACACAGGCAGATCAAATCTCAGAACCTTGGAACCCATCTACACAGCATGGATTCTTAGCCAAGTTAGGGTTTTTTTCTTTCCCATTGTCCTTGCATTCTTAGCTGCAGATAAATAAAGAAAAAGGAATTATCAAAGCTTTGTGAAAGTAGTACAAATACGTGCTAAGGACATGATATATCTTTTACTTGAAATCACAGGAAAAAACGTCCTTTACAATGAGGCTTCAATTTACCATCCTTGACAACTTTAGAATTCTTAGCATTTTCTGCTGAAGTAGCTGAAATAATGCTCAAGGGTATAAATTTCTCAGATACCTTCATGTTTTAGGTACTATTTTAAAATATGATCTCTAGTTAACAGCATTGTTTCTCCAAAATACTGCATGTGTTTTGCATATATAATTTAAAATACTTACAGTTCTAGTGAGATGAAAAGAAGTAACCACAATAGTTAGTTTTCCATTAGTCCAGTTATGCTCTTTGCCTTGCTATCACCAGGATTTGAAGTGCTCATTTGTTACCTTAGATTTCAACGCAGGTGGTAATAATTGGCATAAAAAAATAACACCTATTTTTCTTTCCTGAAATAGTATCTCTCAGTGGGTAACCTGTAAAAGATCTATTGGTTTGGAACTTAAATTGTTTATACAGCAAAAAAAAAATTCATTCTTGGCACTGAAACGGCCAATGAGGAAAGTAAATGGAGTAATAATACAATATATGCAAAAAGAGGAGCAAAATAGTTTTGAATAAATAGAAGAAACTGTTTTCACTTATGAAGGCTTAGAGCTGTTAAACTTCCAGAAACGACTTTCACTATGCAAGGTATTGTAATGGAGTTTTTTCTTTCCTGTTAATATAAAAACCTCATTTCTGTCTCTTCACTGGGGGAACTGATAGTGTTTCATGCTGGATTGCCTTTAGGGAGATTGGGGTTTTTTTGTTTAGTTCTTTGCTTTTAACGTTAGAAACTCATTGTATATTCCTGCCTTTACTTGTAGGTAATTTTGATTGGGTAGGAAATGCTTTTACGCAGAATGCTGGAGCTGGCCTTGTTATCAACCAAGCAGACACGGGGAACAGCACAAGCATCATTAAGCAACTCAAGGCTGTTTTTGAAAGGGACTGGTATTCACATTATGCCAAAAGTTTACAACCAACAAAAATCCCAAACTGCTTTAATCACAAACTTAATAAAGGAACTTCAAATAAGACTGCCATGAGCAATGCAAATTAGAAAGACTATTTTACTGTTTAGTATGGCAATGAAGAATTACGTTGGGGTGTAGCCTTCTTTCATATTTACAGACAAAAGACTTAAAAAGCAAAAAAAAAAAAGTTTGGTCGGGGGGGGTGTTTTTAGGAAAAAGCACACTTATAATAAAACTGTCTAAACTATATTCTCTATATTGAATTATTTAAGATGTTCAAATTTGTTACTTCTGACACTGAATGTCATTTCCACTTCCATGTTAATTTTAATGTTCTGCATTTGAATTCAAGAGCGTATATCAATCTTTCTGTTTAAGGACTTTCCCTAATTGCCAGGTTAGGCTAGAACAAACCTGGAGGCAAAATGAAGATTCAAGATATGAAATGGCATTCTAAGATCAGTTATTATTGACATACAAATAGATGGTAGGTTTACTGTATTAGAAAATATAAAGGAATAAGCAAATTTTCACCCATATAAATCATTCCCTTTAAATAACTACCTAGTCATACAAATACTTCCCAGTTTCAAGCATTTTGTTTGAGTATCACTATTCCATGTCTTCTAACTAGCCTTAAAATACATTAGAGTTAGGACTGGTAATTCATTCATCTGCTAACAGAATGAGAAGATTTTGAGGGATTGGGGTTGGCATCATTGAATTTGTTATATTCCCTAAAGCCTCTCAGATAAATGGATTTTTTATTAAAATAATGTGGATTCCTTTCAGCATAATAGTTATTTCCAATTACATGCATTTCACCTAACAATGAAAATCTCTGGATTAACAGCAAAGACCTAGGACTGTTTTTCTTTTACCTTTTTGTAATCTCAAGAATATTTTTTCCCTAAATTAAATATTTATCAAATGTGAGTCAGCAGTTGCATGATGACTCATTATCAAACCAATGCACACCTAAAAATCAAATACTGCTTTTTTTAGAAAGGTCAAGGCTTATGCAAAATCATGCAATAATTGTTGTTAAATGATCATATAGAAATTTTGTTTGATTTTTACACCTGGAAGTGTTTTCTTTTCTAGCTTTTAAAAAATAAAACTTGTGAAATGGCTTCTTTTGTTAAAATATCATCTATATAGGTAAATATATCTGCATGGACAGAAAAGTGATGCCTTCATTTAGGCCACAGTTTCAATTGATGTCAAAAGTGTGCCTCTACAATCACAACTCACTTGCACCAAGAAGCAACTGAGAAGTTCTGTAAAAGTGTGACTTTGCTCTTTAAAGAAATATACAGAAATGCTTGACAACAGATTCTTCTCCACTTCATCACAGTTTCAGCATAAAAATGTTTCATTACTATCCCTCTGCTTCCAATGAAAAAATACAGCTATGAAAGAAAAACTGCATTCTGCATTTTGTTAAATATTCACAGAACCTTTTCCAAAATGGCAACTTTTCTGTCTCACCTACTGAAAGCACACTTTGAAAGCAGTGGGCGAAAAAGAGAAGGAAAACCAACCATGTTCCAATGTATTATTTTAATCTTAAGAAGAAGTTAAAAATCTACCTTGATTTTCAAAATATAGGTTTTACTTACAAGGTAATAAATACAAATTTATTTTATAGTGAGCACAGCTTAGGAAATTCTAATCAGGCAACATATACAAATTCAAGTTGTCAGCTGGAGACACCCCACAAAACTAATTATGACCTCAAAAGGCACACTTTTGACAAAGAATGTTTCTTTTGCAATCGCAAAGATTTACATCATCTTACTGAAAACAATGGCAAAGAAAAAATTTTTAAAGTTGTCAACTTTTACAGAAAATAATTTGCACAACTCTAATACACAATAACATGCTCTGGTATTCAGATAAACACATGCCATGTATTAGTCTCACACACCTAGAAAAGTGTATATTCTGGCATTCTTATAAGATACAAATATTAAAAATGAAAAAGTTTTTCTGAGTTGCTATGAGGAAAGATCTTTGTTAAGAGAAGTTTCTGGATTTTCTTCCTTCTGTATATAACTTAAGAGTATGCATAGCAAGTGTGGGAGAGAGATCCTCAGCACTTAACTTACTTGTTCTGGGGTTTTTTATTTGTTTAAGGAGTTAATATTAGTCCAGACTAATTTATGGTGAAAATTTCAGCCAAGTTATACCATCAATAAATTTAATATTATGAGTCAAAAGTTAAAAAAAACTAACCAAAACAATCAAAAAGCCCACCACATTTTTAAAATCCAGTTGAGATAGTTGTACAGTTTCTGAGATGCCCATGGATGGGTGATTTTAAAGCTTCATATAAACTTCATGCAACATTCTTACATAAAACAGAAAATAATTCAAGCAAACAAAAAACCCCACTGTCTGGATTTGTTAATCATAGCACCTAATGGCAATAATATACAGGAATGAATCAATGTCGGGTTTTTTCCCTATTGCATTATGAATACTGGAAATGTGTGAAGTTTTTAAAATGACATCTTGTATAAATAATGGAGGATCTTGGTGGAACAGAAATTTGTCAGGTGATACAGCTAAGCTATATGTTTACAAAGCAGGATTTAGTAATGAAATCAGACTGTGGAGTTACCCCTGATTGATTTAGTATACCAAATGAATGGTTCAGATACAGTAGTTTTACTGCATCGATCCTAGAGAAATACAATCATGAATACTAACAAGATCCATTAATTTATAAATGCATTCTTATTGGCTTGATAAACAAATTATTGGTGCTTCAATGACCCCCCTGAAAGAGATGATACATAAGCATGGTAGTATGTTTTGCTTTTAGTAATGGTAAAGTTTTGGTGGTTTTGAACAACTTTTAATGTGAAATACCCATTAGCCATTCTACAAACAGACTGGAGACTCAAATTTCATTTGGTATAAAATATGGATTAATACTTTAGTAACTGTTTAGAATGGCATCAGCTCCAAAGTTGTACAGACAGTTTTGTTCTATTACATTAGCCAAAAGACAAAGTGCATCCTTGGACTTCAGCAAATATGAAATTTAAAATACCAGATTCTTTTTTGAAACTGTTTAAGGGGATTATAGCCAATTATTTGGTTTGTGTCAGTGCTGTTACTGCTTAACTAGATTTGCCACAACAGCCTCGATTCTGGCTTTAGACCCTTCTACCACTGTAATAAATCTGGAGCAAATCCACTGCAGTGATTTCACACTAGTTTAGCAGGGATCAGAATCTAAACTAGTTTCCTCTTGCTTTAGCTCTCCTGAGTATCACCATTGCCCAGGCTATTTCCAAACGTGATGGAGATTTGCATTCAGTGGTTTCTCACAGATCTCACAGGCATAATCCAAAAGATGCACTTTCTCTAGTCCCCTTCTAACTGGCATTGGTAACTCTGTCATATTAAAGGCATTTCCTAAACAGAACGGTTTTATTCTTAAAGAATATAGACTGTAATGGTTGTTTGCTGCAAACATTTACTAGTGCCTTATTCATACAAGCTTTTGTTTAACTGTTCCTCACATGAAGTCCTGCTAAAGATCTTGTGTCTAGTACTGAAGCATACAGTGAACTTCTAAAGTAAGAAGACTACATATTGTGATGTTTACAGTTTAATACCTAAAACTAGTCACAAAAAGACAAAAACTGACTGCGAGATGTTCCTCCAAACCACAAGCATATCTAAACCAGAGAATTTGTATGGAATCCCAGTTCTAGAACTGAATTTCACAAGTTACTCCTGGCTTCATTATCAGCTGATAATTGAATTATTCTGTCCTGCCAAGGTATAAAACTAAAATCTGAATTCCTCCAACATCTGGCTGCTATTAAAACCATAACCACAGAAATTCCTGTAAGCACAGGTTGAAGTACAAATACCACATAGTGGCTACTTTAAAGATCTTGCATGTTAAGTCTTAAGTTGCTTTGCGCCAGCCACCACTTTTTTCTGCCTGAAGCATGAACTAGTATCCACAACTACTCTCACCTTCTCTTCGAAGACCAGAAGGGCATAGATTATGTGCTACAACATAATGGCTGTAATTATATCCTAACAGGAAAAGATTTAAGTTTTACACCATGAAGGGCCAGGTGTTCCTCCCAGTAAATTCAAGCTCTGCTAGTAGTTCAGGAGAGAACTTGAGAAACAAGTAGAAAAGCCTCAGAATACTACTTTTAAGACCTATTCACTATAATACCTGATACCTAAATTCTACTACTTTGTTGAGATTTGCATACATAAAAATTGAACAACTAAGCTCTGTGTTACATGCCATTTAACCCATTCTCCATCTATGGAGAAATCCAGACAAAGAAATTATAGGGTTCTTTTTGTAACTTTGGTGTGTACTTGGTGAAAATAGTGTAGGCTTTCTTATCAAGATGGTAAAGACATCAGCTGGCTTATTCCAGTTCTTCAAACTGAAGTCCTAAATATCTCTATCTTGCATTATCATTATTCCAATGCAATCTATGTAAAAAAAAAACTCAGAATGAATCCTTAGTATGTTTAAAATTCACGATACTTCTTGATTCAAGGTACCAGTAAACATACTCCACTTTTTTAACACTGCAGGGTATAGTAGCTCAACTGATTCTGTAGGATGATTGCTTTTCTTAGCCGTTGTTTTTCACTTTAATTACTGCTGGATGTTATTTATGAATCTCTCAGTATTGAATCAGGTTGCTCTTCCATCATCACTTTGCACAAATGCCTTAGAAGCTTGCCAAACTAGCATGGAAAACAGACCTTGTTCAAAATAGTTTAGACAAGAAAAAAAGAACTCGTGCTTTACGCTCTGTGGATGCTGAAGTCAATAGATAAACTCCAGTCTTATAATAAAGTGGAGCTTTCTATTGCACCTCCTGTTTAGATTAATCCTGCAAGGGCTTCAAAGAAAAAGTGTGTGAGAATTGTGTGTTTATGTTGTGATCACAAATTTACAGAGAATATGAATGAAGAATCCAACTGTACTGAATGGTTCAACACAGTAACTTAAATTGGGCTTTCATGAAAACACATTTATATTCCATGTCCATATGATACAACTGCATTAATATGCTAAACTTAGGTTATTCCTAAAATTCAAAAAACATGAAGGATAAAAATGAAGCTACTGCAGCCTATTTCTGAATTAAAATCAGATTTTAGGAGTGTAATTGAACTCTGGCTGCAAATTATTCTGCTATAGTAATGGAGTCAGCTCTGTTATATTCACAACAAATTCTACACTGCAATTTTACAGGAAGACTCGATAATTCTTTTAAATCCTGTAAAATTAACATGATCACTTTCCCTTTAAGAACATAAAATATAATAAAATGGCTGACAACCGCAGCATTCCAGAGGATTATTTTGTGTTCTTTTATGTTGCATGGCCACAAATGTGAACACTACAAATTACATGTATTGCAACAATGTTGTGTGAACACATGGTGGACATTGCATCTCACACAGAGATATCCATCCCTCCTGCAGCAGCATAAAATGTAGTAAGGATAGAGAGGAAGGGGCAAAAAGAGCTAGAGGCAAAATAACTTGGATCAGCCTGAGTTAATGGACTAAAAGCTCTGGGCTGCATTCTTATTTTGTTCTTTTCCCTGCAAAATCCTGTATTTCTTATGCATTCGCCTTGCTAGTCTTTATATGAATGAACTCCCATGATTGTTTTCAGACTGAGGAAAGAACCATGAATAAAAGCCCATCGATCTCTATGTAGCAGGTACTAAGTACTAAAGCAGTATTTGAGATGGGGCTCTTCCTTGTACATTACAAATTTCTAGTGTAACATGAGCAAGGATTTACAACACAGCACATGCCTGCAAATTGCACATCACAGGCGGCCTTTGAATGTGTTCTCTCAATATACAAATATAGTCGTCAGATAGACGCCATTCTGAACTACTAATAAAATCGTGAAAACTAAGCACCAGTATCAGGCAATCAAACTTTACAAATTAATCACACTCAAACAAGGACAAGAATTCCCCCCAAAGGTGATAACTATTTAACCTAGAATTATTTTCAAATGTAACTTTGAGGGACTTAATGGGGAATTTAATGTGGAAGGAATCTTTCTGTTAAAGATTAAAGGCATGCACCAATATACGTAGTGTTGTTTAAGCAAGACAGCATATAATACACACAATGAGATACTCTTCCAATGGAAGTGTGTGTACCAACATTTTATCAACTGACTTGTATTTGAAAACTATTGAAAACTATTGAAAAATAGTATTTTCAAGTGGATGTGCTCAATATTCAAGTACTTCAAAACATTCTCTTAAATTACTACACAAGCATTCCTTATTTGTATTGCCTCAAATGACAAATTCAGTATTCAGTGTTTTTCTTGAAACTTGACAGAAAAGCAGGATGCTTCTGGAAGTGACAGTTGTATCTTTCTAAAGATCAGAGGGCTGTTCTCCTCATCTAACCTGTCCTCTTACTGTCTCCTACTTCTTCAGCAACTCAGTCCCGGTTTACACTTGTCACTGCCTGAGGAACAAAGAAAATGAAGTATTTTTAGCTACCTGCTCTCTCTGAAAACTGCTGGCTGCTCAACATGCTTTGCCCTATGAGACATCCCCCGAGATACCGAAAAGTATAAATGGAGGTCAAACACATAATTCCAGGTGCTTCGCATAATTTTTTACCTGGAAAGACACATATGCAAAATCTGGGAAAAGAGATGGGGTGTGAGGAGAATGCTTGGCAACTTTTAAGTGAGGAAGAGGTTCTTCTGTTGATATAAATACCTCTTCTGGTAAACTCATTTTAGAGCAAACCATTCTTTACCACACAACCATATTTGCAATGACTAAAATGTGTGGCTGAGTTTAGCATGAAAAGGTAAGAGGTCAAAAGCCCCTTATCTTTATGAATTGAACTGATGTCTTTAATATGTAAGAGAGGTGGAAGAAGCAGGTGAAAAAGGAAAATACATTGCCTCCTCTTTCAAAGGAAAAGGACAGGTTTCTACTAGAAATAGAGCTGATAAGGTTTCTAAAAAAAAAAAAAAAAAACAACCCACAAAGATCTTATGCATCCATATTCTAATAATTCTCACAAGATGGTGCATACCTGTGGGAACTTTGGACTCAGCTTAGTACCAACTTCTTTTGTGGCAAACTATCAGACTTCTCAGGAGAGCTCCTTTTCCTCCTTCTCACTATACTCAAGACAGCTGTGACATCTGCTTTTAACAATCTCCAGATTCTTCAAAGAAAATTTTAAAATAGAATATAAGAATCTTCCCTGTGGAAAGAAAAAATGAATAGCAGGTTCACTGAGGACCTTCTTCACCAAAGAACCTAGTACAATTATTAAATTACATAAGAAATCAGAATGAAAACCACAAGGCATTCTCTTTTTTGTCAGCATTTTAAAAAAAATGAAAATTGGAAAAAGAATAAGAGGCTAATGCAGTACCTCAGATGAATGAAACTGAAATTTATAAACCAAAATACTGTTACTTTTGTGGACAGCCCCCACATTTAAACTGCAGCTCTCAATATGACAGAGATGCAGTGAAGAATCAGTGAACCATTAGCTTTGATATGCTGTACCAAGGTTTCAGCATTCAAAGTCTTATGTCCATCTGTCTGTATACAGCTTAAAAGTTAGGAAAAAAAAAAAAAAAAGGGATTCTATGTATATTTATACAGCCCTTACTGCCAAATGATCATTAAAAAATAGACACTTCTCACCACATTTGTGTCTTCAGGTGTCACCACAGAGATCTTAGTGAACAAGTCTGGAGAAAGTCAGAAAAGCAACATCTGTGGTGGCAAGTAAGCCAAGTAAAATAAACTGCAAGCCCATTTTTCAAGTGTTAGTTCATACAATAAAAGTATTCAGATGCCCCCATATCCAGCTCAGATTCCAAATGTCTTTGTATCAGATTCCAAATGTCCTTGTATCAGATTCCAAATGCAGAGTTGAGGCTCCTAACACACATTCATACAGAGACATATCCTCAAAGAGAAAATGAGTATCTATGCCAGGAGAGCCTGGAACATCTCTAGCACAATAACTTGTTCTACTACTGTCCTACTCTTAAGACTGACAGGAAATCGTACAGCTTTATGGAAAGGGCGACATACCCTTCACCAGAGAATAGGAATATTCACACACAATGACTCAGAATAACAAGTAACAAAAGTGAACTCCTGGCTGCAGCACAGAAGTACATCAACATCACCATCCCTGATAGCACACAACCTTTTCATTCTCACGTTGCATGTGTGCCAAAGCTCACTTTTTTGAAAAACAAAGGGCAATGTTTCTCTCTGAATTAAACATTCTAGAGAGGACTATACCTTCTTTTTTTTTTTTTTAAAAAAAAAAAAAAAAGAGAAGAGAGAACAGCAACCACTGCCCCACTTTGCTCTTCCTTTTCCATGTTCCACTTTTCCATTAACAGATGTTTCTGCCATCTCTTCCTCATCTGTCTTTTTCAAGCTATTTCCTACATGCTGTTTCTGAATCCCTTGCTGCTCTGTAGACAGGGATGAATCCCTGCAACTTGGATTGTTGGTGCTGTAACATCCTACAAGGTTACTTCCACTAGCTTTACCTGAAGTGCTCAGAAGAAGGAAGTGCACGCACAGAATGTTGAAAAACACGCAAATTACTGTGTATGACGACAAGGGAAGTCAGGGCAAAAGCAGAATGCAGGCACTACTGGAAAAACATCTGGATGGGGAAAGGGTTTGAAGTCATACTCCTCAATTGGATTTCACCTTGGCACATCCAAAACCTGTATCAGGAGCTCAATTTTGCAAACCTTGCACAACTAACACAAGCCTTGCCTCCAGGTATTTTGTTTGCTGTTGTCCTGGAGTCACGTGCCAGGTTAACCTGCCAAGCTAGGCAATAACAAGCAGGTCAAAACCACAGACAACTTCAAGCCACATAACCTCAACTTTATCCTCCAGGTGGCATTCGGCCACACAGGGTGTCTAATCTGGGTACTGTCATCTTGTGATTGTTAAAATGGTCCAAGCTCACCATTGTATATAACGCCACCACCTTCAAAAGAGCAAATGAAGAAAGAAGATCTCTCTGCAAACAAATTTTAAATCTCTGACTGTGACTTTGGCACTGCATTGTATTTTCCTACACAATTTAAAAGTAGCAGGAGTTCCTTGTAAAGTTTGCAGAGCAAAAAGGGTATGTACTATATAAGTTTACTACTATACCTCTTCTGATGGAATAAATATCAAATAGAAAAAAATCTGTCTAAACTTATTTTGAAAACTGCATGGCCAGCTTATGCAGTAGCTAGATATGTGGCAAGGTTACAGTGTTACTCTCTAAGGAGAATACAATTGATATGCTTATATATTTTGTTCAATTCAAGCACTGTGTAGTCTCCAAGTTCTGCTATGAGAAGTATGGATAACTTCTCATTATCCTTCCTATTCCAAAACACAGTATTTATCACAGATATGTACAATACAGCAGCATAGCTTAGGCCTGTTATATAGGTCAGTATCTGCAATGCACACAAGAACATAGTTTGCCACTGCAAAGGAGAGTGGCTGCAAAATCTATTTTGGATAATCCAATTTATATTTGAGGAAATCAATGTGTGGTCATTTCTAGAACTGTGAATATAAGGCAACTGCTGCATGCTTGTATATTTGATAAGTTTTATTATACTATATCCTTATATGAATGCCTATGCAGTGTAAATGCTTTAATATAAGATACTGAATGGTTTTTTTACACATTATTTTCTAAACGTTGCTACATTTTACTGCATGTTTATTCATTTTTTGTGTTGGTACAAAGTGCAAGCAGGAAGACACATGATTTCAATAATTTATACAGTAGCTATTCAAATCCATTATAAAAACATGTTCTTATGTAAAGACTTTTAATTTGGCAAGAAATGTGCTTCCTTTAGACAATGGGCTTGGTTCACAGCAATACCTGTGTAATTAATGTTTATTTATTAAAAAACCAAAAAAACTGAGTCTGTAAATGGGGCTATTGACCCTGCTGCAAACCACTATGTCAGTATATTTTGATACCTTTGAAAATGTAAATCATCTACATTTACTAGGAAAACAGATGACCTGTCCTGATTCAAGCTGAAAAACAGTGCTGTAATTGAAAAAGACCACTCTTGAAAAAGAATTGTGTTTGGCGCTGCGGGATGACAATGTAGCAACCTTTTTTTTATTTAAACAAGACTTTCTCATGACCTTAATATGAAGAGTTCATGTTACTTGACTGTGAACTGGGCCCACTGTTTACAGTGTTATTATACGTAACCAAAGTTCAGTGTAATTAACAAAATTGATCGAATTCGTTCTTTTGGAAGAAACAAAAAAGAAGCTGACTGATTGTGCTGAGGTTTTGGAGAGTTGGCTTGGTACAGAGTGTTACTTCTGTACCAATGCATTTTAAATGCAAGGAAATCACTGGCTGAAAGATTGATGGCTAAGACAGAATTGTCAGTGGTAACATCTGATACTGCTGGAAACTAAGCTAGCAATGATACAACACTAAATCAAGGTAGTAATGCATTAAAGCTATGTAAATATTTCTTTTAATGCTGCAGCATCATAACTATCATTTTTCACTGCTTTGATATCCAAGGGTTCTTAATACTACACAAATGTATTTTATCTGCTTAATTTTTTAGTTTCAGTGCTTTCATTCAAAGCAAATAACTCCCATTTCTTTGTACTGCACTGAAATAAAGACTCTTGTTTCAGTACATAATGCTTTTCCTGTTCTGGTCTTTCTCTGTCAGTGTTTGTTTCTATGAGCACCAAATCATAGATACCAGCCCCTAGTGTCTAGTTCCTGGTACCCTGTCTCCCAGTTTTCTGTACATGCACACACCAAAGGCAAACCAGGCAACACTGACAGACTACCTGGTGCCTCCATCTAAGGCTCTGCGGGGTCTGAGCAGCACTGACACTGGTACCAGGTCACTGTGACTTCTGCAATATGATCCTCTTTTCCAGTAGATTGATTCAAATTAAGATTCTAGGTGGAATCTGGGAAAGCAGGCACTTCCCTGGATTTCTCATTTCTCAGAAGACCGCCATGGCCATTGTGATTTTCTGCTGCAGGGACTGCTGTCACATTCTGTTCAGACTACAGGAGTCCTAAACAAATCCCCTCTGATTTCCATCTAAAAAGCTTCTAACCAGGTCTACTGCTAAGTAATTTTCTCTGTGAAGAGAGATTCATGTTCCCTTAGTTTGAAAATGAGAACACTCTGCAGCAGATAACATTTAAACAGAAAAAGTAAAGACTGACAGGAGATGAGAGAAAGCTGAATCTCCTGAGATAAGCACTGGTCTTAGTAGCATGTGCTTTTTAAGAGCTGTTTTATATTTTGTACCAGAAAGGTGGCTTCTGACTGCACAGGACACAGAGAGGTAAACAACAGCTGCTGCACTTTGACCCACACTGTTTCCCATACAACACCTGAACAGATTTCAGGTGCAACTGGAGTGATGAGTTCAGAATAAGGAGAAAGAATCAATTCCCATGAAGAGAAGATTTACCTGAATTCCAAAATTACTTATGTCCCCATTTTATTCTAACAGTATCAGAGCACCTCACTTTCACATTTCTCATGCTTTTTGCAAGACAATTATTGTACCTATTACTTTAGTTCCCATTTTCACAGAAAATGAAGTATACACTTAACAAAAATCTGCATCTAGGAACTCAATATTCTTTTCATATATGTGGCTTCATAACAATCACATGATCACATGAAGTAGGAAACAAAATCTTAATCCTGTTTACAGACAATGAGCAACTTTAATTACTTACTGTGCACTGTATCACAAAAGTTAGTTTGCAAAGCACAAAAAATTTAAATTCAGCTGCTGACATCTATTTCCATATTAGATTTCCTTTCCAAATATGCATTCTCTCTAGAGAGATATGCATGGAAATATTTAGAAGCGTTCCACGAGAAGACAAAAATATTTCAATCCCAGTAGCTGAAAAGAAACCAGCTCCAGTGTCACAGCTACAGTGCAGGCCACTGTCACTGGGCTAATTCACTGAAAAGAAGAGGATTTATCCTATTTCTTGCCTTTGATTGAATCCAATGGGGTTTGTGCTCCATTGGAATGAGATGGTGATGGTGACATGGATGGGTCCCCTCCATTCAGGATCATATGCACTAATATATAACGAACAACTGCTTTTTATTAGACTACCTACTCCTACACAGGCCACATTTCAAATAAAACATGATACTTACTTACAAAACTATAATATTTTTTATTAGGATAGATGCATCCTTTTCAGACTTGATCCCCACCTCCAAAGAAGCACTGATGCCTAAGATGTTGACATCTACAACTCAGAGTTTTGCGGTTCCCTACAAAAAGAGAGCGTTTTCCTAATCTCTGATTTGGTTTTGAGTACCAATATTCATTTCTCACTGAGTGCCACATATTCAAGCAGTACACTGCACTGAAAGAACCCAGCAAGTGACAGCACATGTAACCTAGTAAAAGCAACAGCAAATTAGCTGTGGTACGCTCTCAGGCTTTGCTAACATCTTTGGTGTTAAGTAACACAATAAAAAAAAAATTAAAAAGTCATTTAATTTCACATACTGGTTTCTTAACAGTACTGTCATGGTTTAGCTCCAGCCAGCAACCAAGCCCCACACAGCTGCTCACTCACTCCCATACCAGCACAATCAGGGAGAGAAAACTGGAAGGGTAAAAGCCAGAAAACTAGTGGTTTGAGATGAAGAGAGTTTAATAGGAAAAGCAAAAGCCATGCACACAAGCAGAGCAAAACAAGGAATTAATTCACTGCTTCCCACGGGCAGGTAGGTATTCAGCCATCTCCAGGAGAGCAGGACACCACCACACGTAACGCTTACTTGGGAAGACAAATGCCATAACTCCAAACATCCCCCCCTCTTCCTCCTTCTTCCCCCCGCTTTACATACTGAACATGATGTCACATGGTATGGAATATCCCTTTGGTCAGTTTGGGACACCTGTCCTGGCTGTGTCCCCTCCCAGCTTCTCATGCACCCCCAACTTCCTTATCAGTGTGGCAGAATGAAAAGCAGGAAAGGCCTTGGCTCTGTGTAAGCCCTGCTCAGCAATGACGAAAACATCTCTATATTATCATCTCGGTGTTCAGCGCAAATCCAAAATATAGCCCCATAGTAGCCACTGGGAAGAAAATTTACTCTTTAAAGCAGCTGAAATGCATAGCATGCTAATAATATGCTGAGACACACTGTCCCTGGTTAAATAACTCCTGAACAGTATATAGTTGTTGGCCCAACGCAATACTCCAGTACACTTAGAGAATTCCGCTAAATGTAGCCCAGGTTTTGGAACTGTATTACAAACAGGAGAAGAATATTCTGAACAGGTGTTTGGCTCATTACAATAAATTTGCCAAATCACTTTATCCTTACTGTCTGACAACCAGTGGTGAAACAGTGCCCTCAGTATGATGCACAGGAAGTCTGAAAGAGTGCACAGGAGTCACTGAACAGCAATACCCCACTTCACAGAGCTCTCGTGTCTCAATGTTCTCTTTTGAACAAAGTACTATTTTGAGACAGAGAAAGGATGGCCTTCTTCAGCCCCTTCACAGTCTCCTTCAGCTGCAGTTTAAAATTCAAGATGTATACACTAAACAATGTGAAGATGAAAAGACAAATCTTGGTGCAGTAGCAAATAGTCATGTTCCAGTCCTTACCCTGTATCCTCTTTATGAATACAGCCAGTATTGAACAGGTATGGCAGTAAGCCCTTAGGCGAATTTTACTGCTGGTGTAATATAATACTCCCAAAGACTATGTTCAGCCTGCCAACAGCATGCTAGCACATCTCCAAGGGTTTTATGAGCTACCAGAAAGGTCACGTCTTCTGTAGCAGAACCAGCTTAGTGAGCTCATTTTAAAGTCTTATAAATGCTTAAAGCATCTCAGCTCATGTAGGGCTATCATAACAGTAGTCCAAGAATATCTGCAGGGCCAAACTGAGGAGTGAAGGATCTGGTCATACAAGCTCATTTCTAACCAAAAGTGCCATTTAAATAAATGGCATAATCCCATAAAGCACTGAAGGGTCAGCACAGTCATTTCTCTTCATATTGATAAAGTATTTAGAGAGTTGCAAATACTCAAAACCTCAGGGATGGCACTTTCAAAATGTACCAAGGTTATATTAGTGGCCCAGCAAATACTTCACAGACAAGTAAGTAAAGCAGCAAAGTCTACATCCAGACATTTTCAGTCCAAAAATACACTCTTGAACACCTTTAGTTTTACAAAAAATGTCTTCTGATCTACAAGCAGAGAAAACAGAGATGGGTAAGGATGTGAAATCAGCTTTAAAAAAAAATAAAATAAATAGGCAATAAATAGCATTCCAAGCCGTGGCTACCATAACATCCTAGAAAGTGTGGTCCCCAACTTTTAAGTATCAAACTGTCAGTAGAATGATCTTTTAAAAATATGATGTTCTTGATCACCTGACTTGGAGAAAAAGATTGTTCTAACTCAATATGAGGGATTCAGCCATGTCATGGGACACCTAAAATAGACAGAATTCTGCAACCTGACCTCTTCAGTTCTGCACTTGCAAGGAAATGGTGTAAAAGAGTAAAAGTCTGTATCCCATCAGTGATCTACACTCTGACCTAAGTCTGTACAGCAGAAGTCAGTTTTCACACTGAAGTGTGAAATTTATCTCTGTGTCTCAGGCTTTTACAATGCCTTGTCAGAATTAATGGTTCCACAATGTTTTTATATAGAGGGAGGTATTTGACACACATCCTTCTTCGCCTTGATAAGTCACTCACACAAGTAAGAAACCTGTATGATACAGGGCAACAAACATGTTACACTTTACTGAAAGAGCAATCCAAGAAAAGAAGCTGAATCCTCCACTGCACCGTAAGTGCAAAGGGTATGGCAGCCTAACACAAGTAAGAAAGTGGGAAAAAATAACAAGCTCAGAGGAAAAAGTTGTATCCTGAAAATTCCTAGCCTCAGTCTGTCTGATCTCCTGGCAAGTTTTAGAAAGATGGAAGTTTCTTCAAATCCTCTTCTTGGAGAATTCCCATACTGGGAGTCATCACAGAAACAGCAGCATAGGACTAACCACCGCAAGATAAAGCTCCACACCCACAGAACAGAAGCAGTAACATTTTGGCTAATGAACTGACAGCTGCAGCTCTAACTCCAGCAATGCTGCTTTGGCAGACTTCAGCAAAGACTTCTAGGTATTCACTCTGCCAGTACGTTTCAGTCCTAACATACTGAGAAGTCCCAAGCCTTCTCTAAGATACTTCTCCAAGTATCCCAAAAGCTCTTTAATTGAAATGTTTTATGGAATGAGCCAAGTAAGAAACAGGCAATAAGAGAAAACTACTTTTCTGTTTTGACTATAACCGTGTCTGCAATACAACAAAAGATGAAGCAGAGACTTAAAATCTTGGTAAGGATGAAACACTTTGAAGATTGTGGCTTATTTACGTTTAAACAGTCAAATTTAAGATTCAGAACAGCAACTAAAAAGCATGCTTTACAGGAAACTGGTTTTAAATGGTCTGGTTTACCTGTGAACCTAAGGTAAAAAATACACCAGAATTATTTAAAAAAAAAAAAAAAAAAAAAAAAAGTTAAAAAAATGGTAACATTATGAACTTTAGTACTTAAAGTGCATATTGTCAGGAATCCACATTACTGCCTTTGGCACACTGTGACCAGATACATAATGTTAATAATAAATGCCAGGAGTAGAAGTTCAAACAAGTTGGAACTTGTTCCATTGCCATTTTTATAAGGAAGAAACAAAAAAATCAGTTGTCACAAGTTTTTTCTATATGCCCTATAAAACTGCTTATTTGCAATTCCACCAAATTTTGTTAGCCTGTTAGCATTTCATTAGATCAGTAATGGGGGAGAGGGGTTTACTACCATTATGGCTTCCGGAATGTGTACAGGAATTGAACGGGAATGATATTAATAGCAAAGAAATTAATGAGAGAATCAGGAGCTCCCATCTGCAAGTCAGAAGCATTAATTGAAGATACTGCCCAAGTGGTCCTTCTTGGTCTTCTCCCCACCTGAAATTATGCACCTGTTGTACACAGAAGCTTCCTTCAGAATAAAGCAAATTCTGTAGCAAAGTCAAGACCTGGAGAAGGAAGTGAACAGATCAGTCCTGACATAAATTAGCATTTTCACAGGACCCGTACAAGGTTACAAACAACAAAGGAAATTCTTTGCAAGGACCAGAAAGGTTTCATTGCCAGAGTCAGGTATTACAGTGCAGGTCTGGATGGGTCCTGAAGAGTCACCACAGATCGTGGCAAAGGGCCCCAAGAGATACAGCTGCAGTCTGGCCAACCACCAAAAGACTAAGTTGTGATGTCAAATGCTCAGAGCTCCATTAGACACATTGCCTTTGAATCAGTGGCTAGAGAAGTGCACGTCAGTAATGGCTCCCTCCAGAGGCAGAACCCTCTCCTCCTGCAGCAAAGGCACCTGGTAACATAATCTGAAACAGCTGGTATACACCACATAAAATTAATATCTCTCTCTTTGTCTCAGTTAGTGATATTTTTCTCAGAACTGCATACAGGCTTCCTGATTTCATAGGCATCGTGCCCATAAGTAGGCCTGTTTGACCTCATAGCTAGCAATTTAGTAGCCAAAATAACCATTTTAACACTTTAGCTCAGCTCTGAGGTCATGCCAAAGATCTTTGAAGCATCAGTCAATCAAAATCAAGTCCCAGTTGCCCAAATGACCTAAACAATGTGCATAGCAACTGCAAGCCCCAGTATACCATCCTGCTAGATCAGGAATTGTTTGCTCTGAAGAATAACAAGAGATTACCAAAGATCAGTATTGTCGTTGCTCAAAGGAGCAACAGCTCACATCAGGGATCTCCGTCAGTAGAGTACTCTGTGAACAAAAGTCTGAATAAATTCACAGCACATCCTTTAATTTATGTGTCTGTGCTAGTTCTGGGCTACATTAGGTCATAAAAAGCATGAGAGAAGAACCCCAACAAAATTTACTACATCTCATGGTACCAGTCATTAGAGAGCTGACTATAATTAGACAGATGGAAGCAGAGAACAGGCTTTTACTGCTCTTTTAGTCTCTCCCAAGAATACTTCAAGAAATTGTCTCTTCTTTCAAACAAAAAAAAAAAACTGGAAAAAGGAACTGTAAAATGGTACCATCAGAAAAATAAACAACATTTGTTGTAGCAGCAGTGTGTATACGAATTACCAGGATGTCATCGCCAATATAAGCGGAGCCGTTTATCATGCTAAAGTGTTCAGGTACTCCCAGATGGCACAAAGATATTCTTACATACTTTGCTTTACCCTAAAACTAGACAAAGAGCTTCATCTCATTTCAATCTCTCCTCATCTTGCCATAGCAAGAGGTACCAATTTTCTGACAGCTGTTCTAGACATACATAACTAGTAAAACTCTTTTCCTCAAATTTGCTGGTGTTCCCAGCAGGGGCAAATATACAGTTAACCAGAATTACTTTGTACCTGTAACATCAGGGGAAAGTCATAGCACTGGCAAAATGAAGGAAGCAAAGTCAGCAACATCAGAAATCAATTTAGCCACAGTACCTTAGTATCAGAAGCCTGCACAGTCCAATTCATGAGATTTGGTATTTTTAGGTAATGCAATGCTCACCTCTTGCACAGATTAGTGCAAATAAAAGTCTGCAATGTCCCTGAAAATATCTTCTGCCATGAATGATCTAGTGCCTCAGCTCTACTACAAACACACTCAGAATATTAAACCTGTGAATTTAGGAGGCAAACAACCTCTTTCCTGGGGTAGGGCTGATTACCACTGCTGAGGAAAAAGTGCACATTACAAACCCCAGCCCTGACGGCTCCCTCTCACTCCCATGCAGTGCTGCTGGGGCCAGCCAGGTGCCGTTCCAAGGTGCCCACCCCAGTCTGCTCCCCCACTATGCGGCACAGACAAAAAACTGCTGACAGGAGCCAGGTCCTGCCCAGCTCTGCTTCCCATTACCAGCACACACGGAGCAGACCAACTCACCGTGCTACGCAACACCAGGCTCTGGAATACTCTGTGGCCATGCAGCAGAGCTGCAGCATTGCATGCAGCCGCTGCCATGTTACACAGCCCACCCTGGTGTTCCCCTTGTGGGGTGCTGAAATGGCAGCAGGTGACTCCAGTGACCGTGACCATGTACACTCATGCTTTTCAGCCATGGTGCCAGAGCTACAGGAGGGAAAGGAGGGATGCTTTCTTTTGGCTTCCCAGGTATTTCCTGTCAAAAAATGCAGGTATTCTGAGAGGCAGTTCTCAAGCCAAATGAAAAAACAGGCCAGTTTCAACCTTGTGCCAGAATTTTCCTTCTCCTGCCAAGCTGGTGAAAACTGGCTTTTACAGCAGAAACTTTGTGTGGAGAATAAATGATTCTCAGAGCATGGTTATTTGCCAGCTTGTGCAGTCCACCAACCTGGGTACGCATCGCTGTAACAAAGAAATCCGTGACATGGGAAAGCTTGGGATCTCAATCATGAATGTAAAGAAAGGAGAAACCTAAATGTACCTGAGCTTCAAAAAGGCAGCTTGATGTTGTGAGAGTGAGGGTAATGGTCACTTGGCTCCCACGCTCCCTTCAGTGCCTAATGAGGGAGCAGAGAGCAAGGCACAGTCACTATTTTCCTTGCCCGGGTCTCTCGCAGTCTGGAGCTGCATCCAGTCCTCTCATATCCCCTTGGAGAGGGATAGAGCACTGTCATACTGTCATTTCTCTGTGGGATAGGTTCCTTTGTTTCTGGCAAAAGATATGTTTGTATTTTATTTCACTGCGAAAGAGCAAAAGCAGTTTCTCTGCAGGGATTTAATTTTAGATCATTTCAGTCCCCAGACTTCTCCAAGCTTTTGCTTTGGGCAAAGAATAAGTCTATGGGAGAGAATGTAATGAAAAGCTGGCTTTGGTGAGGTCTATTACAACAAGCAGGAGGCTCTGGAGGAACACTGCAAAAGATGAAAAAAGCACAGGAAAAACACAAATTGGGAAAAATCTTTTGTTGGTCAAGATAACATCATATGTCATTTGCATCTATGAATCTGTGGCCTGTGCAATCCTAGTGCCATAGGGGATAACATCATAGTAAACCTGGAAGGCAACTCGAGAGATTATCCAGAGCATTCCTCTTCTCTACAAGATTAAAAGTCCCTTTAATTCACATGTGCAAGGTCAGAACTCACTACCTTTACCCCAGCAGTGACCAAACTAATCCTTGCTTATTCACACACCTCAGTGTCTTGATTGAGACAATCTGAAAGATTTAGAAGGAACTGGAGTGAATTTGTTTCATTAAGTAATTTCAGAAAGTTCAACCTGAATTTGTAAACCCCTTCAATGATGCTAATCACTTTGTTACTGCTGTCTGTGTTCAAAGAATCACAGGATATGCTGAGTCGGAAGGGACCCACAAGGATGATTGAGTCCAACTCTTAGCCCTGCACAGGACCATTCCCAATAGTCACACCACATGCCTCAGAGCATCATCCAAACACCTCTTGAACTCTATCAGGCTGAGTGCTGTGTCCACTTCCCTGGGGTGCCTGTTCCACTGCCCAATCACCCTGTGGCTAAAGAACCTTTTTCTAGTATTCAACCTAAACATCCCCTGACACAACTTCAGGCCATTCCCTTAGGTCCTTGTGGTCACTACAGAGAAGAGATCAGTGCCTGTCCCTCCTCTTCCCCTCACAAGGAAGTTGTGACTGCAGTGAGGTTTCCCCTCAGTCTCCTCTTCCCCAGCCTGAACAGACCAAGTGATCTCAGCTGTTCCTCTCACAGCTTCCTGTCAAAGCTCTTCACCATCTTCTTTGCCTTCCTTTGGACACTTTCTAACAGCTTAATATCTTTTCCATATTGTGGTGCCCAAAACTGCACACAATATTCAAGGTAAGGCCACACCAGTGCAGAGACCGTGGGACAATCACACTTGCTTTGCTTATCATTTAAATGCAGAGATTGTTTTCACACCAATGACTCAGCTGTGATAACTCCCCTTGGGGAGGGATTAGCACCTTCACACCCAGCCTGAGGGGTCATCTCTGCTAATGGACCACAATGGACTGGCATAATAAGCAGCAGCAACCACCTGGAGGATCAAAGATTCCAAAAATATCCCATGATTCACATAGTTAAATCACCCCCTGTGAAACTTCCTGGAGGAGGTAGTGGGTATTCCCACCTGAACTTGTGCATAACAAATTTTGGGGTTTGGGACTTCTGGCACCACTTGTTGGATCCAAAGGAGGACCAGAACTCCAACAGGACTGCAACTGCCACTCTCAACAAGACTGTGACCATCATCTGGACCAACAGGTTTTCCTTTCCTTCTACTTTGCACCCAGGGGGGCCAAGAGGTGCTCAGCACAGGGGTTGACAAACACTATTCTATTCTTTTCCCAGGGTGTGGGGTTTTACGTCTGTCAGGGTTAAAACCAGTTTTTCTCTGTATCACTGTATTTCTGGTAATCTTTTTAGTAAATTGTAACTCTGACTTATAATCTCTCTTGAGATGGCTTCATTTCTCCGGCCAGTTTACTTTTAAACCAGCACAAATTGCTATTAACTAGATGCAACCTTTCTGTCGCATTCACTGCAACTGTCTCAGGACAGTTATAAGATAAGAGTCTCAGTGGCAGATCTGCCCGATGCAAGAATCTCCACTAAGCTGAATGCCCTCTGCTATCCTAAGAGGGAAGCCCAGAAACCCTGAATGCTTCTCTTGCATTTACATGCATTGGCCTGCCTTAAAAATAGCTAGGGGTTAGCGTACTTGCAGAACTAAACGTGAGGCTGTGCCATTTTTAAATTTCAGAGCAAAATTCTCTCCAACTCACTAAGCAGCCTCACATTTCATCCTTCTCAAGCATCTGAAATGGCTTTTCCACCTGGAATGTCTGTATGCATGCCTTAGAAGAGGTAAAACAAAGGCTTCTACCATTATTCACTTTTGAGTTGGGAATTAACACATTAAAAAGAAGAAAGCTGTT